CCTTTCTAAGGAGCACTGGAGATCAGTTTCAGAAGATGCTAATAAAACAAAGTCATCTGCAAACAGCAACTTTCTCGACTTCACATCTCCTACACCGATACCCTCATCGCCTTCGCAGCTCCTGACTACTCTATTCATGTACAACACAAACAGCAGAGGGACAGGGCGCAGTCTTGGCAGAGACCAATGTGAACGTTGAATGGTTTGACTAGGGCCGTTGTTTCCAAGCACTCCGTTCCACTTTTCAGCGTCTACTCCGAATGCGCATTAAAATCACCCATGACTCTGTATTCGGCACTTAGTAGAGAGCACACTGCACTCTCTCAAGGAAGGTCTCATGTTCTCCCTCCAAAGAGGTCGCATAAGCCTTTACCAAGATCAACGCTTTAGCCTATTGCAGCTTCATTAGGGGAATTGCCACCCCTCTGCTGACAGACGTCTATTCAATGATTCTACCACCTAGGTTAGGTTCTAGCAGAACACTAACATTGGCCTTAGTGCGAGTCGGATGTCGACGCCTGAGTAGAATAGCTTCCATCGAATGAGGTTCAGGAGTCCAGAGCCTTGGCGTTTCGTTGACGAAAGTCAAACAATGTCGGTTTGTTACTTTATGGCCTGATCAACTAACTCCTGTTCTTTTCCTCTGAGTGAGGATATGTTCCAGTTTCCGACTTTAAGCTCCCTCTGGTGGTGTCATTCTCGTGGACCCTTTTCTGACTGCTCTAATGGCATCGCGCCATCTGCCTCCTCCGTTCAGAACGGGTAACGGCTCCCTTGTTCACTGGTATCTTCGTCGTCGTTCCGTCGATCTTCGTCAGCCGTTCTTGTGTTGCTACGTCCCCGGCTGGCATAGGGCGATCAGCAGGTTCTGATCGCCGACTTTTCGCACTCTGCCTCAGTGCACTTTCCCTACAGTTTCCGCGGCTCTTCCTAACCCCGGCGATGACCGAGTTGGTGTAGTGGTCAACGACGGCAATACAGTGAGGGACAGGTGGCTAAGTTTTACGGAGACCTTGCCAAGATCTTCAACCATTCTCGTTTCTCATCCGGGAATGGGACTTGCAACGTGGGAGTTGTTCATGTTTTCTTTTAGTATTAACTTATTGAACATTATTCGAAAATTCGGTTCCTGATTTATCAGTGTGTGTAAGTAATTCCATAAATGCCTTGAAAACCGGAATTATTCCCTCAGAATGAGGTCGTTCAAGTGTTGTTGATTGGAGTGAATTATGATTCGTTTAGAAGTTTCATCCTAATTTAGTTTTAACAGTTGCAGCGATTAAGGCACGTGGCTAAAAGTCAAAATACGTTATTTGCTACTCGACATTACAAGCGTATTCGAACTGTTCCCATGACATGTCGAATGGACTTTCAGACTGTAGTGATATTTGTGTCATTATGCCCAGTTTACAAGCATAATCACATCATACACTTGTCCTTAGAAAAGTAGATTCCTTTCAGCAGGCTAAGATTCCTTTATACTACAACACCTTAAAGTTTTGAACTGAAATCCGTTTGGCATTAAGACGCATGACCTACCAAAGCGGTTCCCTTATCTTTAGAAGCCAGCAAATACGATTATGCCGTATTAGGCAGTGGAACGCATCGTGACAAATGCATTTGTATATGCTGTTATGTTACCGTACCGTATTGAGAACTATTTTCATTGGTCGTAACACCTGGAAAGAAAAATCCAATACTTCTCATGTAATTAATATATTAACAATTTAAATAGTTTTAAAATCGTTGAAAATAACTAGGGTGTTCTTGGAATACTAGCCAAAGGAAAGCGTCACTAATCAGCATTATTTGTTGATCTGTTACC